AAAAAATTTTTTTTTAAATATTTTATTTCGTTTAATTTGATTGGTTGACCTGATGTTGACCTGAAAATTTGTCTACCCAACCTGGATTTTTCAGGTCAGGTCGGGTTAGGTCACAGGTTGACCTAACCTGATTCGAAACTCTATTCTGGATAAATGCTTTTGACAGTGTGGTGATCATTATTAATATAAATACTAATGTCTCTGAAATTTATGAGAAAATTACCTTCACAAATTAATTGATCAAGAAATAATATTGATTTATGTCATAGTGAATTTATCCACTTTTTTTCCAAGGAATGACAATCTGAAGTAGGGTTTTACCCCTTTGATTCTGAATTTAGAATTGTTCGCTAACATGTTTGAAAATGACAAATTCAATTGTAAATAAAAGTAAATTATATTGCCAAGAAAGTTGTCGTGGCGAACTTGTTCAGAAAAGTAGACCAACAAATCAAAGAGTTGTCATAGAGCTAGAAAAATTCTTGAAGTTGTTTAAGTCAGATTTCAGTAGTTTTTGTGAGGAGCAAAAGAGATGGGTCACCATTTATCATATTGGCAAAATATTGTAGTTTTGAATGTATCATATTTGTTGCAAAATCGTTGAAACCATTTGTCAGTTTGCTGGTTAACATGCTGTTAGGTGTTGACTTTGGAAATTTAGGTTTGTGTTTGAGAAAAATCCTAACTTTGGTGAAAAGAGCATTGTATTCTTTAGGTGATAAAACAACTAATTGTGAATGATATTCAATCCTAGGTATTAAGACCATGTTAAAGATATATTTCAACTATTTATCTGTCAATGGCTTATATTTCAGTTTTAAAATAAACTCTGCAATTTCACTTTGAATTTGCTATTTAATAAAAGTTTTGTTGTATTTTGCAGAAATCTATATACCTAAATATCTAGTCGATTCAGATGGTTTTTTTGTTGAGAAGAAAATAGGTTGATTTAAAAATTCACTATATATTGAGATATTTACATCAGTTGCCTTAGTTGTTAAGATAAAGGACTTATCATGATTCACTTTCATCGAGTTGAGGTCAAAGAAGGATTGAGCAATGTCAAAGATAGCAGTCAGATTAGATAAATTATCAGTAACCGTCTATATATGCTGAGTTAGAAATATACGCAAAAATTTCTGAAGTCTCTGTTTTGGTGATGTCCGGTTTCCATGACACTGATATTTTATATCCTAAAGATGAGTTTCAAATTCTAAAAGAAGGGATCGTAATAAATTATCCAAAGCAGAGAAGAGATAACTTCTCCTTGATCAATTCCAACAATGACATCATAGGGATCAGTATTACCGTATGCTGTAAAAATGGAGTTTTTTAAAAAAAGATTAGTGATAACATTAGTGAATGGTAAGGGGATTTTTAATTGTTTCATTGCTTTTCATAGCATAAAAATATTAACTCTATCGTAGGCTTTTGACATATCTTAAAAGAGCATGTATAAATTAGAACGACTGGACTTGTTCATTTTATTATTTAATTGATAGAATTCAAGAATATTATTGATAATATATAGTGGTTCCATCGTTGATTGATGTGATAAACCTGCAAAATTAAGGCTTTTGAGTATGTTGTATTTAATGAATACGTTCTGTAGTCTTTGATTTAAGATTTTAACAAATGCTTTTTTAACAGTATCCAGAAACGTGATAGGATGTGTATTATCTAAATTGCAATTCCAAGCTTTAAGTTTTGGAATTGGGTACACATATGGGCTGGTGATAGTTAAAAAGGGGAAAATCCACAATTTTTTTATTTTGAGAAAAATGGAAATCTATTTTAGTCATAATATTGAGAAGTGCAGATCATTGGGCAAATAAACTAAAATAGGAAATTGTCTATAATGAAGAGTTAACGTCGTCAATTTACAAAACTGTAAATAATAATATAAAAAAAAATAATAACATCATAATTACACCATAATTATCTGCGTAATAATAAAATCGATAAGAATAAATCTCCTCTTTTTCTTTTGTCTCTTTCGAGAAGCGTTCTTTTTTCAGCAAAAAGCATCCCCTTAACGTCCTTACCTCAAAGGAAGCAATCCCAATTAATACTTGATATTATCTACTATTACTGGATAAAAAAAATGAATATGAATGTGACCTAACTTTTTGAAAGGTATAGTTTATTAGGTCTTACTTTAACTAGCTTTTCTTTTAGTGACCGAAAGAAGGTTTGAGTTGGATTTTTTGACTTGAATATCAGATTTTGAAATTGTAGAGGGAGGTGTGTAAAATTGTTTTTTGTTTTTTTGTTATGAAAACGTCTTTAACGTTTCTTTTTATCTTTTTTTTTAGAAGAAATGGACTTTTCAGAATGTTCTTGAGGTAAATGGAGTAAAAGTGGGGTTTTTTTACTTTAATATACAAGAATATTTATTAACGTTCTTTTTTATTCTTTTTTGTAGAACAGCTGGTCCTCAGGTCTGGGATTTAGCACAGTTTCAGGGATTCAGGAGAATATCAGTTTCATAGTTTCAAAATTTTAGTTTAAGCTTTTCTCAAAATTAGTTTCGTCTAGCATCTTTAATCAAAGTGTCAAACATTACTTTTTTTCTTTAGGAAATAACTTTCTAAACCTGGAATGAATACTTATAGCTTAGTTATTCTTTAAAAAGTTATTTAGATATTTTAATAAAAGATATTATTACATTTTCTAGTATAAAATATTTAATACTTAATTTAATAAAAATAATTTATTTTAATTTTTAAATAACATTATATAAAATTTAAATATTTTTGGTTGAATTTTTTGGTTTTTCAATAAAAGGTAATGGACAATATGCATGCCACTTTAATGGATCTTGAACATGTTAGCGTATCTCTTCATAAAAATACCATTGCCATTCTGGTGTTAATTCTTTAGCTACTTTTTTTTGGAAAATGATGGAAGATTTACACTATAATTTTTTTTGTTAAATTTATCAATTGAAACCCTTTATTTACTGCTGTTTTAACTTTTACAACACCTATTTTATTCTAACTTAATATAAAGTGATGCTGCTTTTTAATTTGTGGAACAGTATTAAAATAATTAACTAAAAACTCAGTCCAGTTATAAAAAAAAACCTCCTGTTGCCTATAACTATTAAAAATAGGCTGAGTTACGTTATATCTACTAGGAGTTGATTCTTTAACTACTCTAATTAAATTCTTCATATTATCCACTTCTGAGTACCGTAGCTTCAATTTAAATAAACCAAAAAATCAATCAGGTGTAAATTTGGTGTGGCCCGCTATCATAAATGAATACGTAATCTTATTATGCAGATTATTTGCAATGCGTCATGCTAAATACATAATTATTGCATTATTCTTGTTCTGTCCTGAGCAATATCAGCATGAATGATCACTCTTTTTTTTACCTAATCCATGCTTCTCAAAATCATGATGAACTAACAAGATTGTTGTGTCAACGTTCTCTTTTTCTGAAATCAGATAATTTACCTAATATAGAAGATAAGTTAACACAAAAATTAAAAAAAAAAATATTTTAAAAATAACAAATTATTTACCTGTATTAGAGTCCTATCTTCACAAACATCAAAAACTTGCACCTTATAAAGGCTCTTAAAATATGTTGCTTCCTGTTATATAATAAATCCAATTAAACTTATAAAATACATATTTAACTTTAATTTAATCTTACCTCTTGCTGTTAAGAATATGGAATTTGAACAGCTTCTGCAAAATTCCAGGATATATGATTTTCAAAATATTAGGAGTTTGGTATATCTGGTCGTGAAGCATTTATAAGTTCTTTTAATGCTATTTTGAACTTTGCTATACAATGCCTATATAAAAATAAAAAGTTTAACAAACCAAATAAATAAAATAAAAATTTTAAATAAAATTTACCTAAAATTCTCTCTTTCTAGTTGAGCCCAAAGAATATGTCTATTCCATTCTTCTATTTTCTATTCTATTTCTAATGCTGGTCACATTTGTGTATTAAATCATGTAACTTTACATTTGTAATATAAGTCACTGCAGGGTGATAAAAACTTTATATCTGGTGTATATTTATGCCATATTCAGTAAAATGATCAATCACTTATAATTAAAGGTTCATTATCAATAGTATCATTATATAATCTCTAAAGTGATTTATAACTTTCACTTGCTAGTAAATATATAACTGCAGTAGTTTCTTCTCGAAAGTGATATTCTATAGTATTTAAGAAAATAATATTAATTTTTATTAATTAAGTAAAAAAGTATTAGTTTATTAATAAAATAGTACCTTGTAGTAGAAGCCCATATACATTTGCATAATTACTTATAAATGTTAAAATTTGTAAAATTATTTCAAAAAGTATTGCATTATTACTTTTTCTACAAATTAAATCATATACAATTAGACTAATATATCATGATCATTTTAATGTTTTCGTACTTCTTCCCACTTTTTTTATCAATATCATAAATTGTCAAAAAGGCTATCATACATATCTTGATACCTTCAAAATAATAATCGCTAGTTAAAAATGATTTATCATTATACCTTTCTATTTTGTTTAAACGAATATTTGCATTAAGTATTCCTAATAAAAACATACTTTGTTGACTTTTATTTAACTTTTAATATAATTGAAATTTTTTTGTTGCAATTTCATAATCAATAACATTATTAATTAAGCATTTTTTTGAACAGGAATGGGTTTTAAGTTTTTTTTTGTATACTTCAATGTCTTGTTTTATTAGATTATTGTTAAGTTCATCAGATTTTTCACTTTTCTCATCATGTAATGGATCTTTATTCTAAATTTTATGAAATTCCTCAATTGAAAATTAGTGAAAATTGAATGGGATGTACTATCAACTATAGAAAGTATACTCTCTCCATAGTCTTTAGAAGTAGTCTTATTATCGTTGTAATCCATATTAAATTTATATTCATCTTGTAAATCTTCTAAAGATCTATTTAAATCATGAAGTTCCGAATGAGTATCAATAAAGAGACTTTGAACCATTTTTTTTAAATTTATATATATTAAAAAATACCTTAATGTTAATCTGAGTATAATAAATAGATAATTTTTTTTTAAAAATGTTCATTTTTAATTAATAAAGGATATTGAAGAAATTTAAAAAAGATGAAACTATTTCTATCATTCTTATTTACGCTATCAATCAAAAATTCCATTTTTATAATAATCTAAAAATATAAAAAATATATTAGTTAAAAAAGAAATTGCACTAAACTTTATTTAAATACTAATCCAAAATTTTCCGATATCATATCTAATAAAAATTAAAACAGATTTTTTTTATAGTTAATAATTTTATTATAATATGTAATATATTTATAGATATAGTCCGATGCAAAAAGATATGTATCTTGCCAAAAAAGAAAAAGATTTACGCCAAAAATTATACCATATGACCAAACCAAAAATGGTCTAAATTTTATAAATTTTGCTGAATATAACCAATTGCAACTTTTCCACAAATTTTTTTTAGATACTATAAGTACTTCTTTAAAATGAGATGGTATACCATTAACAAATAATGAAAAATCAATGATAATTAATGTATATAATTATTTCTCTGAGGTTAAATTAATAGGAACAGATCATCAAAGCCTCCCTTTATGCAAGCGTATTGCTAAGGTGTTGGAAATAGCAGAAAGTTCAGTTGGAAAAGTGGTATCTAATAGGAACAAGTATAGTGATGGCACATTTACACCACATAAAATTTTCAGGAGACCTAAGTATAAACTCGATGAAAATGTTTCAGAACTTCTACGCACAAAAATATTGAACGTTAACAAAATGGCTGAGCAAATTTCAACTCCTATTCTTTGGCAATATCTATCTGAACATGGATATACATTTTCCAAATAGAAATTTCTTCGGGTATTGCACTCTTTAGGCTATTATTATGGATAAGGAGAATGAAGAAATATCCTTCATAAATCACCAAATAATGTTACATTCCGTTATCAGTACCTTCGCTTTCAGTTTACTAATTTGAAAGGAAATAATGATGTTTTACGTTATCCAGAAGTTTTTCTTGATGAATCATATTATCATTTATATCATATTTTACGTAATACATGAGTTCTACATCAAGGTGTTGTTTTAGTATCCGGGCATGATTCACTGGTAGTAATTTTTAGAGCAATAATTATATTTCGAAATGAATCTTCTAACAAGTTACATAGTGAACTTATCCCAAATTCTATTCATATTTGGGATCTAACAATTAAACCTTTAGGAAACAGGAGAAGAAGAAGAAATAATGCTAAAGAGTGGAATGACATTCCTGATGTTGTTAAAGGCATAAATATAACTCCCAATTAAATTGATTATCATGAGAACTTCAATGTAGAAATATTTGAAGACCTTTTTAAAACTCTTTGTGAAATACTATATGAAAAGTATAGGCCAGTAAACATTCACATGGATAAGCAAGATATCATAAATAGCGAGTTGAAAATATTCCAACTTCAAGCACAAGAAAACAAGAAATAATTGATTGGCTAATTAATCATAAGATTGAATTTTCTGATGAGTTACGAAGGCCAGAACTTTTGGAGTTAGTCCAAATGAATAAGGAAAGGTGTCATTTATTTACGTCAAAATAGCAGAATGGTATAATCATCAAATTTTTTTTACCCCTTCTTATCATTGTGAGCTTCAGCCAATTGAAGATGTTTGAGCAGTTGTAAAGGGTGAAATTACAAGTTCAGGTCCACATCCAAACCTTTTGTCTATTCAAAATACACTATTAATGCATTTAAAGAAAAAATTAACTCAAAAATTATAGTTGGTCTTTAGAGGAGAGCACTTAAATAAGCCAAAGAATATTGTGAAATTGATGAAAATACGTAATTAATTGAAGAAGATTTTGACGACTATGGTGATTCTGATGAGGATTAATGATTTTAATTTAATTTTTATATTTTTATGTTTCTGAATATGTATTGATATGATATAAATAAAAAAATTAAATTTTATTTAATAAAAAATTTTATTTTTAGCATTTTATTTGAGGTATATATCTTTTTGCACAGGATTATAATAAATATAAAGATTTTTTTGTTGTATAACTAGCGAAAGTTAAAAGGGGAAAAAATTATATGTTTAAATTAATTATCCAATACCAAATCAATTAGATTTAAGCATGATTTATCATTTCATCAGATAATTTTAGTGATCATTTAATAATCATCAAATAATTAACATCATGTATATTTTAGTTTTTTTAATATATCTCAAAATTTTATTATACTTGTCAGTTTAATAAATTAAGTGAAAATGAAGTACAATATTGATTTACATCACATAAACCAAAATTTTCAAAATTTATTGGGAGGTTAATTTCCTCCTTTTTAATTATCACCAGCTCATATGCTAAATTCTATTGTGTAGGTGTCTGTAAACTAACAAGACAGGATCAGATATTAGTATATAAGAATTTATTCATTTTTGGGCCTAATTTTTTCAACATTTCATTAGGTATTTGAGAAGGGTTAGAAGCTTTATAATCAGGCAGATGTTTTAGTATAGACAACACTTCATCGTATGTAGGGATGGCCATGATTCCTTTATAAAAGTCATCACAAATAGTATCAATGGGTTCATAGTAATGATGCTATTCATTCCAATTTGAGTTAAAATTATGTGAGTATTGGTCTGTGACAATTCTATTTGTAGAACCGGTGATGGTCTGAAAATGTGTTGCAGTGTGAGCTTTGATATCATCAGGAACAAGTGCGAGATGTTGTGATGGAGTGTCTGTATATACCATTACTTTATCAAGAATAATAGCTTTCCTATTTCTTTTAAGATATGAATCTATCATTTTAGTGGAAGAGTCTTTAAAGTTCTCATTTTTTTGTTTAATAAATTTTAAAATTCTTTTATTGTTTTCAGTGCGAGAAACAATACGTTGTTTAGCTTACATAGGTTTAATAATGTCCATTTTGAGTTTATGTAAATAATTTAGTAGGCGATTAATTGAGAAGTAGTTATCAATCGAAGATGTAGAAATGAAATTATGAGAAGCTAATGTTAGTAAAATATTATGTTCTTCAGGTGAGATTGGAAAAGGGGAGGTTAAAAAATATGGTTGGAGAAGGGCTTTTTTTAACTTGTAATAGATTTTGTATAACTTATTGATTTGTGAATAGAAGAGTTTAAGCACGAGAATAAAGAATTATGATGAAAAGTAGTCGTTTGTTTAGGTAAATGCTTTTTGTGGGTGTTAAGACAGTATTAGTAAAGAAATCCCAGGCAGCATTAAGTGAATTCTGAGAAATACAAAGATCCTGTATTGTGCAGTTTTTAAATTTTGGATCAGTCTTAAGTATAAATCTGTTTTATCAGCAAAGAGATCCCATTAGAGAAGAGTGGTCTTATTAAAAAGGAAATTTTTCTTTGTAACATTGTGTTGTTTTGAGTAAGTATTTGATGACTGATTAAAAAAATTATTTTTGTAAAGTGAGATTAGGAGAGGAAAATGATCAGTTAAGTATAAAAAGGAAGAATCGTTAAGTATATCAAAAGATACAAGATCATGTGCTAAAGAAGATGAGACAAATATATAATCAATATGAGAGGAGTAATAGTTAAATGTTGATTTGAAAGTGGAAGGAAAAGAGGGATTGAATGAAGAAATAGTATGAAGGAATCCAAGATTAATGATATTATGTAAAAAGTTTTATAAAGTTCATTTGCATTTTGATTTGTAGGTTCTTGAAATATCAATGTTAAAGTCATCTATGAGAATAATATGAAAGTTGTTTCTTCGACTTTGAACTAAAAGATCCATTAATTTGGTTTGAATTTGAATTCTCTGTTGAAAAGATTTTTTGTCATGAAAACTGGCAGGAAGTAAATTTGAAAAACATATAGTTTGAATTTGTTTTTAAATTGAAAATCTAAATATAGTATTCGGTCGAAGAAAGAGCCTTGATTAAATAGATGTGAACATAGACTATTTCTAACGATTAAACCTTGACAATTCTGGAAAAGTTGGAACTATGGAAAAAAATTTGTAATGCTTATTGTGAAAATTTTGATTAAGATTTCTAGCTTGTAGATAAGTAAGGTGGGTTTCACTTAAACTAAAGATATCTAAATTAAAGTTAATAAAAAATTGTTCTATTTGCTGAAGACGATCTGAAGAAAAACAGCTACTTATATTATGAGTTGCAATTGAAAGTAAGTTAGGATTGTTAATATATGATAATAAATTTGCATTAGTATTATTATTATTATTTATTGAAATCGTTAAAGACGTTTCATTATTATTGGTGGGATGAGATTGATATCATTTGGAAATGGTAAACGATTGAATTATAGGGCCGATAGTGGTGATCAAATTTCTCATTTCTGTTTTGCTATCATTGACTGAAGTTTCGACTAAGTTAATTAATTGCAGATTATCATTGGTTGGAGTTTTTAGGTTACTTATTCGTTGTCATTAAAAATTGATTGGGTGTTTTCTACAGATGAGGTAATGTCTTCAGACATTAGAAATTCATCATGCGATGAGAAAACATAGTTAGGATCAGTAGCATGATTCACATCGTATTCAATATTGTGCATTTCTTCAAAATGATTTAGACGAAAACCAATGTCTTCTTTATTTTAAGTAAATCATTTTTGATGGACACGATTTCATCACTAATTGTAAGTAGTTTGTTATCAATAGTATTGAGTCTTTTCTGATCTAATTTAAACATATCGATAAGATTTGGGTTACCAGGTGGGAATGGTTGTTATTTTGATTGGAATGATTATTTTTAAACGCATCAGCATAAGAAGTATTATTATTGAATTTGTTAGAATTGTTATTTCTTAGTGGGTGATATGGTTCAGGTTTAAAGCAATCATAGAGTGGTCTATATAAGTTTGCTGTTTTACGATTGGTATATTCTTTAAATTCATGGCTGGACGCGTCACAACTTCAACAATGTTTAGTAGCAAATTCCATCCAATAGAGAGTTTTCCTTTGAATTTTT